CTATTTTTGAATTTAGTTTTCCCTTAATTAAAAAAATGTAAGAAAAAAATAGATTAATTATGTCAGGATATCTTGAGGTGAAACACTATTTTGCTTAAATGGTTGTTTTGACCTGCGCTGTACTGTTGTTATGCCCTCTTTTATCTCAATCCCCTTTATTGCTTTTTTTTTTAATTATTTACTTCTTTATTTTTATCTTTTTAATTAAGGGAAAAATAAATAAAAAATAGCAGGATACATTATAGTAACCTACTTTGATTTCCTATTAACTTGATTTGAAACCCTGTATTGCCCTCACCATCTTGCTTTAACTGATTTTCCCCTATTCTCCTTTGCTAGATAGTACCAAGTTCGAAAGTATAGGCAACAACTGTGAAGACAGTAAGATTCATTATGACGCCCATTCTGGTTGACTCTTATCTTCTTTTAAAGTCCTGTAAAGTCTCCAGTGTTTTGGTTGTATTCGTTACTGTTTTGTTCAACTTTATTATAACTGATGATATAGGCAATTCTTCTTAAGATAGCAAGAGACAGTACGGTAACTATTGTTGATCACCTTGTTTTTTATTTTTACATTATCTATTACGTCCATCCTTTTGATTTGACTGACTCTGTTCTGATATGTCGCTTTTGGTTTTACTCTCTTCAAAAAAAGTAATAAGAACTGTGGAAGTAATAAAACCCAAAATGTGTAATTGTCATTGTACAAAAGAAAAGAAGGTGCTCTAAAGGATATAACTGCATATATGTTTGAGTGTATAAGATGGATAACCATATTACTGAGTTTTGTTGGATCACTGAACAGAACTGTTTGCACTCTTACTGTTTGAAAGTCCACTTTATATGCTTTAATTTTGTAACCTGAACAACTATTTCTAAGATGAGAATATGTAATCTATTAACTAGTGATTTCTTATTGTTTATTTTTTAAAGTTTGTATTACTTGTACCCTTTCTCTGTTTTTTTCTTTTTCTCCTTAAATAAAAAAAAAGAAATAAATAAAAATTATGGTCTCAAGGTTCATTTTCCTACAAACATCTCAAGTTTATCTTTCTTTATAGCAAAGTAGTACTTCACTGTGTATAAATACGTTTTCTTTTCTTTTTTTATTAAAAGAGAAAACAAAACAAAAGAATAAAAGGGTACAAGTAATACAGAAATTAAAAAAATAAATAGTAAGAAACTACTAGTTAATACATTACAAATTGTCATCTTAGAAATAGTGATCAAGTTACAAAATTAAGCATACAAAGTGGACATTCAAACAGTGAAACTGCAAACAAGTGTTTTTAATGATCCAACAAAAACTTAGTAATATGGTCATCTATTTTACACACCTAAACACACTTGCAGTTGTGTCCTTTAGAGCACTTTCTTTTCCTAATACCACATTTTCTTTAACCATTTATCTGTCAGTGGGCATGTAAGTTGCTTCCAAGTTTAGTTATTGCAAATTGTGCTGCTGTAAGCATGCGTACACACCCTCATCCCCACCACTGTCCACTGTCTACAGGTGTACTGCCCAGTGGCCACACACACGGGGCTGTGAGCGTGGTACTGACCCCTTTATCACCTCTCCCACTAGCTTCCTGCCTGAGACAGATTCTAAACGCAGAGAGGTGGGCATTTCCCTGCCTGACAGCTACAAAACACATGCAAAACATCTCTAAGGATGAGTCACTGTAACAAGTATTTTTAATTGATTCTTGCTAATTCCATTTTCAAAAGTGGTCTGTTTCTAAGCAAACCCTCTTCTACGCTGACAACTGCCCAATTTGTCTGAGGGTATTACAGGGTCTAGGATCATAAACAATTCTACTTAGAGGTCACCAGGGAAAGCTTAAACTCACTTGAGTTCACAGATGAGCTAGTCATGATCAGCAGATTGGGGGGGGGGATAAGCTTCAGTGTATATTCACGGAGTGCCAAGCGTGACTCAGGTATGCCCATTTAGTGCCCCTCGCTTGATGGATGAAGAAACAGAGGCACAGAAGAATAGAAATTGGTGGAGTCTGGAGCCACTGTCTAAATCATCTAACACACTGCCTGATCCATCATGAAGGTCAGAAATTGTAGAGGAATGGCCTTGAGTCACACAGCAACCTGTGAGGACGTTTGTAGCTCTCCCCACTCCAGATTAAAACCTCCTGAGGACTTCCAAAGTCCAGCCAGGCTGAAATTATGCCTAAATAAAAATTATCTGAAATTATGCCTAAATAAAAAAAGTTTAAAGAAAAAAATGAACAAATTAGAGTATTATTAGTTAACCTGGAGAGAAATCAAGTGTTAATAGCAAGATTCAGAAAAATGTGAGTAAAACAATTCCATTTTTGTAAATAAACAATGATATAATCTCCCCCTTACATCCCTATATATATCCTTATATGAGAATGTAATAAAATATATACAAATTATTAAAAAATATTTCTGGAGCCTAATCACCAGAGGTTCTAATTGAATTGTTTCAGGGCAGGACTTGAGCCTCAGTGCCTTCCTTTAAAATTCCACATATTAGGGTTCTTAACTTTTCTACACATTACAGTCACCTGGGAAGTTTTTCAAAGTCCTGATGCCCAGGCCACAGCCCAGACCAACTAAATCAGACCTGCTGGCAGTGGAGCGCAGAATCAAGGTCTTAAACTCTCCAAGAAGGTTCCAATACGCAGCCAAGTCAGGACCAGGCAGCCCTCTGGACAGCCAGGACTGTTGCTGGGAAGGAAGGCAACACCTTGTACACCACTACTGTGATAGGAGCAGTGTTCCTGTGAATCCTTAAGACAGTTACTGCGTTTGGACCCTGGGAAAACAGAGTCTCCAGAGATCAAATAACCGGCTAAAGGGTACAGAGTTGGGAGACAGCAGGGCACACAGGCAGCCACGGCTACCCTAGCCTACGGTGCTGAAATTCTTCTACCATATTCTTTCCTTCAGATTCCTCACCCTAGCTCAAGGACTTGGGTTCAAGCGTCAGCACTGAAAACAAAAAACAAAAGAAAACAAAAAGCAGCAACAGCAAATATTCCCAGGAGGAGGTACATGTCAAGCAGATCTTAACACCCACCCACAAAGTGCTCCATGTTTTGGAGGAAGGAAAAGCTTGGAAGATGCTCAAAAGGGCGAAAGGAATATAAGGTATGGGTTATAAATCTGACCTTGCATCATCTCCTTCCCAAGATCCCCCTACTTTTTATTAAAAATGCCAAGAGTCTGTCCTACCTCTGGGCTTTTTCTGTCTTGGGGAACTTTCCCAGAGACCCTCTCAATGATTGCTTTCCAATAAGACAGAAAGGCCTGGTTCTCAGATCCGAGGGCACGAGAGAGGTGCGTTTTATAAATACTGCAAAGTTAGGTTGTTTAGCGCATGTGGCAGGAAAGCTGAATTTAGCCTCTGGGGCTAAGCAGGGCTCTCTAATCCCAAGAGTCTGGAGGCTGGACGGAGGGGCAATCTGTGGCAGGAGTCAGAAAACCAGGCTTGGAGTCCTTCTAACAGTAAAAAGACAACTGGAATCACAGCTACCTTCAGTTATAGGTAAGTCGAGTGAAGTGCCTATAGGGATCACTGCAGATCCTCAGCCCGGGTGTGTGTGAGTGGGGGACACACCAGCATCTCAGTGTTGGGAGGGCACTCTGGGGCCCAAGGTAGATGTGAGCTTTGGCCTGGTATCTACTTCTGTTGGTAAACTTTCTTGAGGGCTTACTGTTCTGATGCCAGATACAACCTTAAGGCCATGTACTTACTAGGCTGTAAACAGCGTGAAACCAGGCCAGCTGGCTCTACAAACAGTCGCCTGGGTCATTATAGCACCTATAGCATTAAAACCATGATGGGGATGACCAAGAGCTAGCTAATCATGCGTCAAACAACCGCTGGCAACTGATACCCAGGGAGAGGCCGGTGCAACTGAATGTTCTTGGGACGCGATCCAGCGAGATTGCCAAGATCAGTTACTTCCAGAGGGTGCCTCACAGTGATCTGGGGGAGAAGGGTGGAGAGTGAGTGTCGGTGTGTGGGGGGCGCGAACATCTGCAACTCCAGGAATCCCTGGGATCCAGGCTTCTCAGTCCGGCCCCTTCTTACTGAGGGGATTTGACACAAATTTGCACATTTTGCATATGGTTTCTTTTGCTCTCTCCCCCAATTCCTTTTCCTCTTGTTACATTTGTGCTTCTAATCACCGGTCAAAGTCCAATTAGATGTTTTAAGGTCTATTTTTTTTAAAGTTGCTCATTTGATCGCTCCCTCCCCACCCCCATGCCCAGTTGACCTTAGTCTGAAGGGGACCTCCTGGGTTGGGGTTAGGCCAAGGCGCTGGGAGCAGGAATCTCCAGCCCCACCCAGGTGCTCTGCACTGTCAGGTCAAATTTCCAGGGGGTGGGGGCGAAGCTCTCTGTGGTTACAAAACATCCCTTACCCTCAGCCAGCCTGAAAAACAACCCTCCGAGTCCCGGCCAGTCAGCAGTCCCCACTGAGTGAAGAGCAGGAGATAGGACTCTATCGAAGGCAAGCCATCAATCTTGCAAAACCGATCCACTTCTCCGCACCCCGCAACTTTATCGAACTTAGCACCCCACCGCAGGCTACGGCCCCGAGCTCCCTTTTAATTACGCCTCTGGCTATTTACAGAGGCCACCCGGCGTTGTAGTCCTGACATCACTGAGCGGGCTTCCCGGGGTGGGGGGGCTGCAGTAGAAGTGGCTTTCCCGCCCCACGCAGCGCTCACTTGCTCGGCGTGGCGCGCGGGGCACAGCGCGGCGGCGCGCAGGTTCCCGGGCGCCCGCAGCCGCGGTGGGCACTTGCCGGGAGGGCGGGGTGCTGACCTGCCCTCTCCGCGCAGCCGCCCGCAGCCAGGGGCGGAGGGGTACTCCGCGAGCGGAGACTCGCCCGGCGCCGCCCGCAGCCAGCCGGTATCTGCGGCGCGCGCCCTGCCCCGCCCGTTCGAGCGCGCGCGCCGCCCCGCGTCCCCGCCGGGGACGCACGGCCGCGAGCGCGCGCGCGCCCCTCCGTACGCCGGCGGGAGCCCAGCCAGAGCGAGCACGGGGCTGGGCGCGCAGGAGTGAAAAGGAGGCGGCGGTCGCGGCTGCGAGCAACAGATCCCGGCGCTGCGAGCAGACGTTGGCTGCTGCGGGCTCATTTTTTTTCAGTTTCTTAAAAAAATTTTAAATCTGCAAATCTTGCATTTTTTTAAATGGCGCTGACCCGGGGTCGACGGGCAGCTTTCTCTGTATCAAGATGGGCTTTGCCTTTTCCGTCCTGGGCGCCGGTGGTGGCCTGATTACCAGCTTTCTCCGGGCATTTTCGAGACCAGGGGCTGGGCAGTGCATGTAGGCGAGTCGCCCCACAGAGCGGTCTGGTTCTCGCCACCATTGTTAGTCTTCGGGGCGGAGAACAGTGACCCTGCGCACCCCGCGCTCTGCAGACGCGCTGCAGGCCGGCCCCGAGGGCGAGGCTCCTGTCGGGTGACGAGCCCGGCCCGCGCGCAGCGCAGCGCCCCACGAGTGCGTCCTCCCCGCCGGCGCCGGGAAAATGGAGGCTGTGATTGAGAAGGAATGCGGCGCGCTCGGAGGCCTCTTCCAGACCATCATCAGCGACATGAAGGTAGGACGCCGGGCGCGGCCGCGGTCGCTGTAGCCTCCGCGCCCTGACCCTCGCGGTTTCTCGCTGTTTTCGCCCGGAGCGGCCGCCCTGCCCTCGCTAGCGGCGCGACCGCCTGCCACCTGCGGGAGCTCGCGGCCGGCGGGTGTCACCTGCTCGCCCGGCCGGGGCGCTGTTGCGGGCGGTCGCCTGGCGGGCGGCTCCGGGTTGGGGGCGGTGTCCCGCTGTCTCCGACGCTTCTCCGCGGGTTATTCCCGGGGGCTTGTTCTTTGGGGGGCTCGGGGCCCTCCCTGGCTGCAAGTTTTCCATTGTCTGTCCCTGGATTAAGTGTTCGCGCCCCGTGAAACCTGGACACCCGGGCGGACATTTGATTTCCTGGAGTCCTGGGTGGGGGCGCCTAGCGTGGCGAAGGGGAAGGAGTGGAGGCTCGGCTCGGCCTCAGGAAGGCTTTTCCTGCCTGGTAGATGGGGAGGGCGGCCTCCCTCCTCGACTTTCAAGTCTACCTGGAAGGTGTGCGTACTTGCGTGTGTGTGTGTGTGTACACAAATTAGTAACTGTGCTGTGGCAAAGCTGGTGTGAGTGCACAAGCCTGCCCTCAGTCCTAGTGTGTGCGGGTCACAGTGCAGAGGTTCCCAGAGCAACCTGAAACCAGCCAACCTGAAAGCAAGACCTGGGTCCTTCTAAACAACTGTGTCTTACCTCTTCACACACACGCACACGCACACGATCTCCATGACCCTTTCGAGAGTGGTTTTCTCTTGGATCGTGGAGGTCCTGTGTGCGTGCATGTGCGCGCGCGCGCGCGTGTGTGGGGGGTGGGGAACAACAGTATGGCTTTTTCCTGCAAAGGGTGGGACTGGAGATAACCTGACCCTCCGATGTGGATTTTCTGGGATAGATAGACCAGGGCCCTGTGTAACTCAACCGTAGGAAGTGGAGCCAGCCAGAATCGCTAGCTGGAAGTGGGAATTAGGGGCCGTGGGTTGGGGGTATTTTTTTTTTTGTATATATATTTAGGGAGCTTCTCTTTGGCTCCAGCCCAGCCCCAGTTTGCCTCGACAGATCCGGGAAGGTGGTGTTTAATTAAAAGCTCGGCTTCCAAAAGAGTGGGCAGGTTTGGAAAGCAGTGCGGGCGAGTGGGTGTGGACAGCCCCTCTTCAGCCGCTGCCTGGCGCCTGGAGAAGCTTTTGTCTGATGGAGTGCAAGGTTTGGAGAGGCTTCGTGCCTCGGAGATGGACTTCGGGAAGGAATGCTCAGCTGTCACTGCCAGCTTCTCCTTTTTAGAAGCAACTGCCACCTCACCCAGGGTGAACTTTGTCAAAGTGCCTCTTCTTGGTTTTGTCCATTTTAACATCCTACATATCTTGTGTCTTTTGTCAGAAATTGACATTCACGTGGCCTGATCTGCAGGCAGACCAGCCTGCCCAGGAATGCCTCTAATCCAGTCATTCGGAATTAGATGGATTAGGCCCTCTTCAAAGACAGCCCCTTTCATTCCTTTGCCCCTGTCCACGTTGAATTAACGAAGTGCTCTTTTGAACAAAGATCGGTGCCCCTTCTGCGGGCTCCTACATTTATTGTTAATTTAAATTCTCCACGCCTTATAGTCAAACAAGATTGGATTTGAAGCACACATGGTAAATTCTGATCTCCAGAAGAGAAATTTGGGATGGGTTGGTAAAGCTGTTTGTGTTTTTTGGAGGAGAAGAAATACATAAATGTTTCCAGTCCTTGAGTAGTAACAGGGAACCCAGGGCCTTCACTGATCCCACTGCAGCCCCAGAGTGATCACACCTGGAATTTTTTTTCTTTGTTCTTTAACCCAAAATACAAACCCAACTCTTCTGATTCTCTGGTTTGAATCCAAAGCCCTTCAGAAGGTAATCCTTCCTCAAGGGTGGGCTCTCATGTCTTCTGCCTGCCATGCCCTCTTTCTGGTGGTATAGGCTCTGTCCAGGAATTTGTGAGTATTGAGATGTTTTTTGCAAGGTTCCAGTTAAAAAGATCTCAGAGTTCCTTCAGTACTGACTCTAGAGTTTGTAGATCCTAAGTTCTTTTCCTTTGAGTTTGATAGGTTTAGTCAACATCCTGTGGGAAAGCATTTATTTTAAAGATTTTTTTTGTTTGTATTGTTTTGTTTTGGCAGTAAAAGATTTTAAAAGCAAGATAGAGCGGAAGACCAAGCTATGTTGGTTTCTGCAGAGTTATAGTCTTTTGGGAAGTAGAGAGATAAGGAAAAATGGGATGTTTTATTGCCAAGATTGTTTATACATGAGACAATTGCTAAATTATTTTTACAGAGTTTCCTCTTAGGACTTTTTCATTAATTAGATGTTAGTGATATTTTAAAATAGAAGTTAAAAATACTAAAATTTGACCATGTTGGAAATAAGCAGTGTAGAGTATATGGATACATACAGTTGCCAGAAAAATGAAGTTTTTGATAGCTGGGTCAGCTGGCTTTGTAATGACTTGCTGGTTTTTTTCTCTTCTTAAAACTCTTGTGACACATTTATCATGACTTAAATTCCCTTTCAGTTTGCTTTGAGAGAGAAGTGTTAAATGTTAAACTAATTTGGAATGCCATCTTGACACCATTTTTAAGTTATTTTCTTAAAAGTCATGGGGACTGGGGGTGAGAGAAGGGTAAAGAAAATGCTTTTCTAAGTAACATTTTTTTTCAAAATGTATAATAGCGTAAAAAGAGAATCAATTTCTCCTTTGGAGGAATAAAAAAAGAGGAAAAAGGAAAAACAGAAAATGGAGTAATTTCCAGGCCTGATACCATCCATCTTCTAAAACTAAAGTCTCAGGACCGAGAAAACTAGAGAGGATTCTTGGTGACTTCTAAAAGATTCTTCCCCCAGTCCTGGGCTGTCTGGGTGTGTGTGTGTTTTACCCTTTTCAGAAGGGTGTGGAAGAAATCCTCACTTTTCTCCCCAGGAATAGAGCCCCACGGAAAATCAGCAGCAGCTGTTAAATAACTTATTGATTACTCTAATGGGAAAAACCTGATGTTTTCCCCGTTCTTCCACCCTGCTGTGGGGGCAGTCACTAATGAGTGGTGGTATGCAGAATCACTTAGGGTTGCCTTGGCCCCATAGCGGGTGTAAATCACCTGCCAAGTTGGCTGGGGTGTGTTGGTCCCTGAGAGGAGGGGAGACCAGGACTGTTTATGTGGCTGGAAGGAAAGGACTTCATTGGTTTGCCTGGGTTAGCAGTGGTCTGGCAGTAACTGAGGACCACATTAACGAGGTCCTGCAGTTTATTTTTATTTATATTTATTTTTACTTTTTAATCCAAGGCCTAGGAAGGACCGGCTAAAAACTGTAAACAGATTTGTGTTGTTACTTTTAAGTAATTCAACCAGCATCTGGTGGTGGTTAGGGGTTTTTTTAATACCAGAGGGTATTGGTGGCCAAACTGGAGGGCATCTCACCCTAGGGCTGTCTGTCTTCTTTTAATAATTAACTTTAAAAAAAAATCGGATGGTAACATCAAATATTTTCCTTACTGTTGTTGCTCAAGCCTCAGGGTCAGGAGCTGAGTGAGGCTGTGCAGGGGCACTTTGCCCTGGTGAGCAGAGCATCTGGGCTTATATAACAGTGATTGGTGAGGAACAGCCAACCACACCTGACTGCTCCTTGCTGCCTGTCACTGTGGACAGGGGTGTCCTGTTACTGGCACCTGTGCAGAGCAGAATAGGGGCCTTGTTCAGTTCCTCCCTGCTGTGCCCTGCTTCCCTTGGCCACCAGTATCCTCTGTCCTAAGTTCTGCCTAAAATTAGAACTGCTGAAGGGACTTCTTTGAATTTGATGGAAATTTGTTTGTGGCTCGAAAGCACATCATGATATTTTCCCTTGCTTATCGTGAGATCAAGAGCGTGGGTAGTGGGTCCAGCACTGGATCTTGATTGGAGGCCTGTTTTTTTCATTAAGCAGACTCAGGGCTCCTATCAGGAGAAAGGTTCCTTTTCTTGGTGCTTATGGAGGGCCTACCCCTGGGAGGTCTTTTGCTTGGTCCTGCTCTGGAGAGGGTTGTCTCCTGGTAGGGGCAGTACAATATGGAGGCCACATCAAGCTTTGCCTGACTTCCTTTTGATGTTTCAAATCAGTTCTCTCAGGGTGATACTGAAAACCAGGGCCTCAACCAGTGGCCAGGTCCTATAATCTGTAGGTGGACTGCTCTGTGTAAATGCTGACAGCCACACAAGACAGCAAGTAGAGTCCTTAAAAAGGACAGATGGGCCCTGTGTTGGCTTTTCTTCTGGCAAATGGCTGTGTTTGGCCAGGGCTTTACAGCTGCCTCAGTTGGAGCCTGGGGAAAAGGGAGTGAAAATGTAAAATCGTCATCAGGCAACTGCCTGGAGTGGGTGCTTACTCAGAGATTAAGGGTCTCTTCTGTGTAGATCAGGCTTTCCAGCTGAGCGTGTTTTGGGGAAAATCCCTTAAAGATCTTACTTAATCAAATTGTTTAGGGCTTGTTTGATGTTCTGAAATTCTGTGATTTATAATGTCCCAGGGAGAAGGTTGTTCCTAGGTCACACAGCTCACATGGAAGGGAGGCTTCCTGGGCTTTGGCCTGGTCTAGAGGTCGCTAGGTACAATTTCTAGTGATGCGTTCTCATTCTGTAGACTTTATTCACAGCTTGGTGTAAGGCAACACACTTTGCTAGGATTTAAGCAAGCAAAAATACAGCGTTCTAGTTACATTTGCGTTTCACATGAACAGTCATTTTCAGTGCTGGCTGTGTCTTCTCAGCTGCTGACCAGTTGCCCTTTGACCTCTTGTTTTGCATCTTGGCTATAGAGAAAAGAAAAAAGCTAAAATGATACTTGTTAATTTGGCTAGCTTGTTTAGGGTTGTTAAAATGCTTGAAGGGTGAAAAGGTTGAAACTATTGATCCATTAGATGCTTTATCATTTTATCTTGACTTCTTTGTCTTTGCAAGGACATGTGGCAGCTGGCAAGTCTTTTTGCAGAGAGACCGTTTTGATGGTCAA